TATATCACAATTTTAAATCCATTTTCCTCTTGAAAGATATTTTGTTGCCCGACTTTGGCTATTATGAAGAGAGCTGTGACAAGCATTCATGTCCGAATCTTTGTGTAGGCATACACTTTCATTTCTCTTGAGTAAATACCTAGGTGTGGAATTGCTGGGTCAAAGGAAAGGATAACTTTATAAGAAACTACCAAAGCTTTTCCAAAATGATTTTATAACTTTACATTACACCAGCAATTTATGAGAGCTCTGATGGCTTCACACCCTCCTTTCAATATTTTCTGTCATCATTTTCGATTTATTTTAGCCATTCTATTGGTATCTCATGGGTACTTTTTTTTTGGAGGTAAGTGTTTATTTATTTTGGAAACAATCTCAAACTTACAGAAAAGCCGCAGGTACAGTACAAAGTACTTTTTCTCCCTCAACCAGTTGAGAGTAGCTGCCAATATCACGTTCCTTACTCCCATATGCTTTAGTGTATATTTCCTACAGATAAGGATATTCTCCTGCATAATTACAACACTTTCATAAAAATCAGGAAATTAACATTAATACATCACTACTATTTAATCCTTCTATCCCATTTAAATTTCACCAATTGTCTTACTAACGTCTTTAATAGCAAAAGGACCCAGTCCAGAATCCTCCATCGCGTTTATTTGTCACGTCTCTCTAGTCTCCTCCAGCCTGGAACAGTTTCTTGGACTTTCCTTAATTTTCACGACCTTGACAATTCTGAAGATTACAGAACAGTTATTTATAGAATGTCCCTCAATTTGGGCTTTTCTGATGTTTCCCTGTGATTAGATTCAGCTTATGGATCTTTGACAGCAGTATGGCCGAAGTGATGGTGTGTGCCGTTCCTCATTGAATTCTATCAGGTGGTTCTAATTTCCCTTTGTCCCATTACTAGTGAGGCTATCTTGGCTCATTTGGTTAAGACGGTGTCTGCCAGCTTCTCCACTGTAAAGTTACCCTTTTCTCCTTTGTAATTAATAGGTGCTTTATGAGGAGGTAATTTGAGACTATGTAAATAACTGTTCCTTGTCTAACTTTCAATTTACTCACACATTTACTTATATTAAATGTGGACACCTGGATTCTTGTTTTATTCAATGGCTTATAATTTATTGCTATTATTTATTTTGATGTCATATTGTCCCAGATTTTGCCACTGGGAGCCCACTCAAGCTGAACTCTGTCCTTTGACAGATCTCCATCATTCTTTGGGGACTTACTTTCTGGTACAAAATGTTCCAGGCTCATTTTGACTATTCTCTACTCTAGTCCTCAAATCAATCTTCTTCAAAATGCCTTGGTTCTTTTTGGTTGAGAATGGTTTTCATACATCAAGATTAGGTCTCCAGATGCGCTCATTGCTATTGGGTGTTGATGCTTTCAAGCCATGTCAGTGGTCAGAGCCAGTCATTATATGGATTTGTGTGTATGTCTATCTATCTATCTATTCACATATATACATATATTCATAGACATATACACAGGCATATAAGCATATACATACACATATTACTTCCATGCTTACGTATTTACTTATATATATTGAAAGACATTGATTCACACAAATTCCAACACCACTAGTTCATTCTAGTTTCCTGCTTTCTGTATCTGTAACTCCCTTCTCTGACAATAAGAAACCTATTCCCACTATTATTAATATACTTTCTGCTATTTGTTTTCTACTTGTCCAATTCTCTTTGTTCCTCTCTCTTTTCTTGCCTTCTTTTGGGTGATCTGAATGTTTTATAGTGCTTCATTTTGATTCCTCTATTGGCTCTTTAGCTATACATCTTGCATTATTTTTAGTAATTGCCCTACGATTTCATTATACATTTTTAACTTGTCACAATCTACTTAGAGTTTATATTGCACAACTGTACATAAATATAACAACCTTCTAATAATATAGTTTTATTTACTACTCTCCCAAACTTTATGAGGTTTTACTCATGTTTACATCTGCTTATGTTATAAACCCCACAACACAGTGTTATAATTTGCATTGTAGAATCATATGATTTTTCAAGAAAATGTGTACATACTCTTATATTTACCCAAATATTTGCCATTTCTTGCATTCTTTATTCCTTCCATTGAATCCAAGTTACCATCTGGTGTCACTCCCCTTCCACTTGAAGAATTCCCTTTAGTATTTCTTATAGCACAAGTCTGCTGGTGATGCATATTCTCAGCTTTTGTTTCTCTGAAAATATCTTTATTTGCCTTCATTTCCAAAAGACAGTTTTGCTGTATACAGAATCCTGGGTTGATAGTTTTATTTATTTCAGTACTTAAAGATGTTATTCAATTGTTGTCACAGGTTGGGTTGCCTGGGCGATAGACTCTGAGATGGAGTTTATCCAGCAGGGTGTTTACTAAGGAGTTTCCTTGGTATCAAAACCTGCAGAAAGGAGAAGAAAGCAAGAGTAGTCAGAAGGAAAAGTTGAGCTGAGCTGCATGCCCTATACACCCTGGGGCGATCTGGAGCAACAATGGCCCTTCTGATTTGTTTTGCATTGGGCCAAGATAGTCAGGTCAAGATACTCCTGCATTGATCAATCACTGGCTGTAGGCAACCTGGGAAGGGGCATGATCTTGAGTGAGGCAGCTCTCTACAGCTAATCAGTTCCTGAAAGGGGCTGACAACTGAAGGCTATCTGCTATAGGGGCTCCTTGCAATGAAGGCAACAAAGTTTTCATTGATGGGATCTGGGTGTGCATCAGTCTTCTGGCATCTATTGTTTCTGACGAGAAGTCTGCCATCATTTGTATTAACGTTTTTATTTACATAATATATAGTTTTTATTTTCTCTTGGCTCCTTTCTCTTTATCTTTGGATTTCAGCCGTCTGACATGTACCTAGTGTGGTTTTCTTTGTATTTATTCTGCTTATGGTTCACTGACCTTCTCAGATCTATAAGTTAGTGTTTTTACTAAATTTGCAAGTTTTCAATCACTATTTCTTCAAATATTTTTTCTTCCCTATTCTCTCTCTTTGCTCCTTCTGGTCCTCCAATCACACATATGAGACTGCTTTGTATTGTCCTACAGCTCTCTAAGGATCTATTCATATTTCTTCCATCATTTTTCTTGAATTTGGACAATTTCCATTCATCTACTTTCAATTCACTGATTCTTGTGCCATCTCCAATCTGCTGTTAATCAAATGCAGTAAAATTTTCATTTTAGTTACTGTATTTTTCATCTAGAATTTTCATATGAGTCTGCTATAAACTGAATGTTTGTGTCCCCCCGCAAAATTCATGTTTAAATCCTAACCACCGATGTTATGGTATTAGATGGGGCCTCTGGGAGGTGATGAGCTCATGAAGGTGGAGCCCTCACAAATGGGATTAGTACTCTTGTAAAAGAGACCACTGAGAGCCCCCTTACCCCTTCTGCCATGTGAGATCACAGTGAGAAGACAGCCGTCTACGAACTAGGAAGTCTGCCTTCACCAGACACCAAATCTGCTGGTGCCTTGCTCTTGGACTTTCTAGCTCCAGGACTGTGAGAAATAAACATTTGTCACTATGGCATTTTTGTTATAGTAGCCCAAACAGGCTAAAACAGAATCTTTTCATTGTTTCTATTTTGCTTCTAAGATTCTCCATCTGTTCATTCAATATGGCTATATTTTCCTCTAAGTCCTTGAACATATTTTATAGTAGTTGCTTTAAAGTCCTCATCTGCTAAGCACCTCCTAAGGTTTGGTTTCCATGGACAGTTTTTTTTCTTTTTGCATTTGAGTCACATTTTCTTGTTTCTTCACACGTCTAGTCATTTTTATTGTCTACTAGACATTAGGAATGATACATTGGAGAGACTCTGGATTCTGTTATATTGCTCAGAAAAGTGTGATTTCTCTCCTAGCAAGGAATTGACTTGGCTGGACTCAAACTCCTAAGTCTGTCTCCTCCTCTGTTTTGGGATATAGCTGAAATTTCTGTTCAACTCTTTCAGGTTTTAGTTGCCACTTTTCCACTGGGCTCTTTGTTGTCTCCTCCACTAATGTGTATTTCAATGGTCAGACAAGAATTTGAGCAGGGCTTATGTGCAGATGTGGGGGCTCACCACCAATATGGCTCCTTCCCTTCTAGGACCCCTGCCCCCAGATCCCCAGCAGCCCTTCCTCCAGCCCTGAACTCTGTACTCTGACACCACCATCCTGTAAGTCTGCAACTTCACTGGTGAGCAACTCTGGGCAAAAACTGCAAACTCAAAATCACATTGGTGTAATTCCAATCTTTTTAAGTGGAGACTCCTCTCCAATTTCTGCCTGCTTTTAGTCTCTGTCTAGTGTCTTCAAGTAGTCGATTTTTAATATTTTCATCCAAACTTTATCACTGTTATCTGTGGGAAGCTTAGTCCAACCAAGCTACGTCACCATTACCAGAAGCCAAATTTCCCAGTGTTACTATTTTGCTCCATACTGGAATCACATCTCCTTCCTCATCCCATTTTTCTTTGTTGGTAGAACAGGATTTGTGTTCAAATGTCCATCCTCCTTCCACATGTCTATGGGTGTAAATCTTGATCCATCTATGTCAGTGCCATAATTCATTTCTCTTGAAGCATCAGTGATACGTTTAGGAAGGGTCATATATCAGTCAGGAAACCAGAAGCTACTCTTTGCAGTCTAGATATAAAGGGTTTTAATATAGGGAATTGGTGGCTTACCCAGAAAAAAGGCCTAAGGGAGCAATGGTCAGAGAAATCACCGCTGACCTTCTCAACTTGAAGCACTCAAGCAAGTTGTTCTCAAAACTCACCTTGAGCGGCCGGCACCGTGGCCAAGTGATTAAGTTCACAGGCTGTGCTTCGGCAGCCCAGGGTTTTGCTGGTTTGGATCCTGGACGCGAACCTAGCACTATTCATCAGGCCATGCTGAGGTGGCGTCCTACATAGCACAACCAGAACGTCCTACAACTAGAATATACAACTATGTACAGGGGGCTTTGGGGAGAAGAGAAAGAAGGAGGGGAGAGGAGGAAAGGAGGAGGGGAAGAAGATTGGCAACAGATGTTAGCTCAGGTGCCAATCTTTAAAAAAAAAAACAAAAACAACTTGCCTTGAAGTTTCCAGGAGTATCACATCTACTCACAATTCTGACTGCAACTGACTGGAGAATAAGGATCGCTCCATCACTTGGGCGCAAGGGTGCCTCTCGCTGACATGCTCTAGCCTGGCCGCAAAATGAAGAGGATTCTGGCAAATGTAGCTTCTGGCTTCTCCTCTTCAAAGTAAAGGAGCCCTTAGAAGAAGTGATGCCAAGTGAGTAACAGATCACCCAACACAGGGCATGTGACCCAAATGAGCAGAAGGCACAGGAGGGGAAGGGACCTGGGGAGCTTCTGGAAAAAATTTATTTGCTGATAAACTAAACAAAACAAAGACTCATAAGAAGAACAGTCCCTCTTTTTCTTCCACTGGATTTTTTTTTTCATGTAACTAAAGCATCAAGCTTGTGACCACGAGAGGAATCAGCTGAGATGGAGACAAACACAGTGTCTGAAGCCTGCCCAATCTGGACTTCTTGTTATGTGAGAATACGTGTTACCATTTAAGTTATTTTCAATTGGTTTTTCCACTACTTGTAACAGACACAGCACATTATTTAGATCATGGAGGTAAACCCCAGAAGAAACCATTTAAAGGAGTGCAAGTGCGAGCCTCTAGGGAGCAAGACTAGGGGTGATGAGATGTGGTGCAAGGCACGTTGGTTTTTATTCTATGCTTTATGCTATTTTACATTGTAAAGAAGATATACGCACTACTTGGATAAAAAATTAATCTAGAAAAGAGACAATGAAACTCCTCTCCATCTCCGCGTCATGCTTTTCTTGATTTACTCTGTTCTATAGTAGAAAAGGAAATGCAGCTAAATGCACCAGTTCTTCCTCGCTCTTATTTTAGGCGATCATCAGTTCTAGCTGCCTACTCAAGAACCTCCTAAGTGAACGCTATTCTCATTCCCCTCGATCTACTGTCTGTTACCAAAATAATCATTCTGAAGAGTAAATACGATCACATCCCTCTCCTGTTTAAAATCTGTGGTTGGTCTCATGTTATCTCTACAGGATAACATCCAAATTCCATAATACGGCATCCAAGACTCTTCATGACCTGACCCCGACACTCTCTCATCTATATATTCTATTCCGAAAACCTTGCTTTTCTCTGGATACCCCGTGCTCTCTCAGACCTCCATAACTGTACACACAGTTTGTTTAGTTTGGAGTGTCCTTCCTAATTGACCCCTTTTCGGCTCTCTCTTCCATGAAGATTTCTTACTCCTCCAGTCCTTCTATAGTCTCTTCGTCCAAATATGTTGTGGATACCTATAACCTGCATCAGCAAAAATTATACTACAGGTCAAAAATCACTTACTGGAAAGTCTAAAATCCAGAAAAACCTCTGAAAACTAAAATATTTTTTGGTAACTCATTTAGTGGCAAAACCTGAACTGAACTGTTTATATCTATAATCTCAATTTATTCCACTTTGTGTGAATATTCATTCACTTTGTTGCAGAAATATTAGTGGGTTTCATTACAGAGTGAAGCCCCCCCCACCAATGGTAGTATTATGTAACATGTCGCATGCGTATCTGTGGCCCATTCCGAAAATGGCTACTGCAACACTTCTCATCCCACAGTTCTTCTACAACTTTCACTCCTTATCAAGAGGTGAGGGCTATTTCCTCTCCTACTTGAAACTTGGAGTGGTTTTATAAATAAAAGTCGTGGAAGAGACACTGCTTGACTTCCAAAGCTAGGTCATACATCAAAGGTATATGGCTTCTGCCTATTTTCCTTTCTCTCTCAAAATGCTTGCCGTTGGAACCCACGATGTTGTCAGGAAGCTCAGTCACATGGCAAGGCCACATGTAAGTGTTCTGGCACATCAACTCCAGCCAAGGTCTCAATCACCAACCAGTGTCAACTGCCAGACATGTGAGAGCAATGCCTGCCCTCGGCGTTCAAAGGCCCCAACTGTTGGCCAGGTGAAGCAAAGCCAAGCTGATGCCACCAAGCCCTGCCTACAACACAGACTCATGAGAAAAACAAATGCTTTTGTTGTTTTAAGACACAAAGTTTTGGGGTAATTGTTCTCCGGCCATAGCAACTGGAATCCCATCGTATTACTTTGCTAAAATGTGAAATATTCTCACTTCCAAAATCCATCAAAGGTTTCAGATTGGATCTGTATATTAAAATTGTATGTTTGCATATCTATTTTTCAATGGAATTAGAAGTTCTTTGGGAACAAGAACTAAGTTTTTTTATCTTGGTATTTTCAGAGCCAGTGTCTAAGATTGGGTAGGTCCTCAAGGCATGTCTATTGAATTAATGTTGAGTGAATGGATGGATAAACAAATGTATAAACACAGTTTAAAAGAAATGGTTATTTTGAAGTAGTTTTTGGGAGACTATACTTCTACTCAACTCAATTCATTGCTCACAAATAATTTAGAATGTCTTATTTTATTATTTTCAGTTTATGAGCTATGCAGAAAATTTCATTAATTTTCCTATCTTGTTTTTATCCAAAAGTGTAATCTTTATGATTATATACTTTATCCATCAAAGTACACTCCAAATTATCCTTGGCTGTTTTCAAAAGTCAAATGTATCTTTAAGGACACAGATTTTCCATTAGTGAGGATAATTAAAATAATCTGACATAAACTCTGAAGGTATTTCCAAAACAGGAGATCCCAATGTTTTTGAACAATGCAATGCAGTGCAATGATGCATAGATGCAAAGAGTTCAGCATCCACGTTGACAAACTTTGCAAGAAAAAGAAAAAACCACTGATTTGGAGTATAAGTTCTACTCGGCATGACAAAAATATGTTTATTTATCTCATGGTCACACATCATGTCACACGTATATTTAACTATATGAGGGAAAAGGGAGGAAAGAGGGCAGAGAGAAAATCCATAATGTCATAAATACATGAATAGATAACATCAATTTATGTTTTAATGTTCCTGTGGGGAATAACTGTTTTAGCTCTTCCCAGGGAATGTTAGAATGATGGAATAAATGAGGCGCTGCTTTACAGTTTGGCTGCCCAACATTTGTCTGATCAGAATTTAATGGATCCTCACTGCCCTGCTTTTTCTCCTTCCCTACTTTGGGTAAATGGCATAGAGCTGGGTCGTATGTAGGTACATCTCAGGATAATTCAGAATCAGAGGAAACATCACGGCGACAGCTAAAAAGTCACTAAATAAATATAAATATTAACCACAGCTGCTCAAAAAAATGCCAACGGGGGATGAATCTTACAATCCACACCACAACTTCCTGAAAATCTTTTTCTTTCTCTTCCCTGATATTTCACAGAGTCTGGCAGAAACACTGCCTTCAAACCCCTTCCTTCTCTTCACATTCCTCCAAAATCCTCCCCTGTCACATCTCTCCCTTCCACACGCACACCGCCTCGTTCCTTTTCTGCCCTGCTTCTCTCGTCTTGTGTATGTGTTCTCGTCTCATCTTGCTGCCTTTCTGAGGTCAATCAAACCGGCCGTGGCTGCGTTTAATTCCAGCCCTCTCCCATTAACCTGGTCCCCAGTGATCCTGGGACCAGGGACACAGGGCAGGAAGAGAGAATTGTCCTTTTCAAGGTGAGGAGGAGGAGAGGCTGTGAACCCTCAAATATTAATTTTTTTCTTGTCATACCAACATCTTACAAGCAGAATGACATGTCACTAAACGGTAGGATGATGGGTAACTGCCACCAGACAGGCTCTCAGGACATCATAAAGTACCACAGGCCTGGCTGTAGACTCTAGATGAACAGTCGGGGACCACGTATTCACTGGTAAATGGGGCTGCAGTGCTGCTGGGGTCTGGATAAATTGTTATTGATAAATGGATGGGCAAACAGTGCCATGAGAAGCTACCTCATTCCTGGGGCTCCCCTCCTTTTACCTGATACCTCAGCACCACTTTTCTAGGCCTAGAAGGGAGTTTATGGCCAGGAAATTGCCAAGGACCTGGCAACAAACGTCAAGTATCCCCTCCTATATTCCTATATCCCCACGCCCTCTCCTTCTCTTTGGACTCTGAACCCCGGGTAAAGCTCTGGAGCTGCAAGGGTGGGGAAGCTGCGGGAGCAGAAAATCCCATTTATGATAGGGCAACCAAATAAAATACAAGACACACAGTTAAATCTGAATTTCACACAAGGAACGAATAATTGCTTAGTATAAGTATGTCTCAGATACTGCATGAGATATACTTAGACTTAAAGAAAAAAAAAAGCTTTCTTTCTGTATGTGAAATTCAAATTTAACTGGGTGTTCCTGTTTGAGTTTTTTCTCCCTAGATCTGGTAACCCTAATTTAAGAAAATTAATGAGAGGAATATCACTAACGTCAGAAGTGAATACCTTAGGCTTGAAAATGAGAATTCTTAGGTATATACTACTTCTTGAGTTGCCCACAAAAAAATGTATTGAAAACATCAGAATATCAAAAAATCAGTCTCCAAAAGCAGCAGGATCCAGCAGAGGCCGTTGGGAGCATTAAGAGGCTGAAGTAGCTGGAAATGTTTTATTGGTGCACTATAGACAGGGACCAAGTCAGCTGTCCTTAAAGACTATATGGTGTTGTAGCCATATGAAAATCTCCTTGTCAGCATAACTTGTCTAAATGAGCTCAAAGTCTCTTCTCAGCTCCTGGAAAGGGAGTTGGGAATTTCAAAGCAAAGTGCTTATAGGAACGTTTAAAAATCTGAAGGAAGTCTGCATTGCCAAACTGAGAGAACAGATCAAAGCCACTACAATAAAAGGCAACTCCGGTGGATCTAGAAAACTTAAAACAGGCATCAGCCAAAGTACTCAAAAGTCTTTCTAGAAAAACACCAACACAGATTGAGGAAAAAAGTGAAATTTTGAAGTGATAAATTTACTCTAACCTGGTTAATTCTCACTTTTTTTTTATCTTCAATCTTGATCATTCTCATTAAAAAAAGGTATCTTAGGGGGCCGGCCCGCTGGCGCAGCGGTTAAGTTCGCACGTTCCGCTTCTGCGGCCCTGGCTTCGCTGGTTGGGATCCCGGGTGCAGACATGGCACCACTTGGCAAGCCATGCTGTGGTAGGCGTCCCACATATAAAGTAGAGGAAGATGGGCATGGATGTTAGCTCAGGGCCAGTCTTCCTCAGCAAAAAAAGGATTGGCAGATATTAGCTCAGGGCTAATCTTCCCCCCCCCCCCAAAAAAAAAGAAAAGAAAAAACAAAAAAAAAGGTATCTCAGGGGGCCAGCCCGGTGGCATAGTGGGTAAGTTTACGTGCTCTGCTTCAGTGGCCCATGGTTCACAGGTTCGGATCCCGGGTGCAGAAACTGCACACTGCTCATCAAGCCATGCTGTGTCAGCGTCCCACATACAAAAAAACAGAGGAAGATGGGCACAGATGTCAGCCCAGAGCCAATCTTCCTCAAGCAAAAAGAGGAGGATTGGCAACGATGTTAGCTCAGGGCCAATCTTCCTCACCAAAAATGAAAAAAAAAAAGGTATCTCAACTGAATTCTCCAGAGATTAAAACTACTGCAGTGTCACTACATAGGACTAAATCATTATTCTAAAAGCAAATATGTACTACAACTACATTTAATTTGTAATTATAAACAATTTCAATTCAATTAGTAAAAATCATTAGAATTGTATAAATGTATCTGTATACATAATTACTAACAATCAACTCATGAAACCAGAAGAATCACCAAATCACCTAAGTTTCATAGTAGATATCCAATTTATTTGTTTTGCTTTGCTGTTTTAAAAACTGCATTACCCCCATAAGCTATAGATCGCATCGAAGCAAAGGTTCGACTACAAAGGATTCTGCAGATGAAACGAGGGACCCTTCGGTGACCTGAGTGAGGAGGGAACAGGCCTTGTGCTAGCTCAGGGAACAGCAGTAGCCACAGTGGGTGACAAGCGCTGAACAGCTTTCCCCGCCCACTGTTCCCCGGGGCCTGAGTAGGGCAGGGACAGTCGGGGGAGCTGGGGTCAACGATAAGATTCACAAGCGGAGCTTCCCTGAGAACAGAGCAGGCAAACAGGAAGCGCTCTAGAGTGCGGAGGACAAGTGGGGCAGGCCAGGCGGGAGCGAAGGCCCAGGCCGCAAGAGATGAGCCTGTCCTGCTGATGTTTCCTCTAGAGAAGTCCAAAAGTTATTTCGCACCTTCAACTCGGTTTGAAAGGAACCGCTGAAATGGGACTTGAGAGTTGTGATGGTTAATTTTATGTGTCAACCTGGCTGAGCCATGGGGCGGGTCCGTGATGGTGTTTCCGAATGAGGTTAGCAGTGGAATCAGTGGCCTCAGTGAAGTCGACTGCTCTCCCCAATGTGGGTGGGCCTCATGCAATCTGTTGAGAGCCTGCATACAACAAAAAGGAGGAAGGAGGAATTCGTCCCTTTTGCTTCCTACCTGCCAGGTTGAGCTGGGACCTCGGTCTTCTCCTGCCCTTGGACGTGGATTTACACCATCAGCTCCTCTGGTTGTTAGGCCTTTGGACTCAGACAGGAATTACACATCGGCTTTGCTGGGTCTCCGGCTTTTAGATGCAGATCGTGGGACTTCTCAGTCTCTGTAATCATGTGAGCCAGTTCCTCAAACACATCTTTTTATCTAGACCTGTCCATCTCTTATTGGTTCTGTTTCTTGGGAGAATCCTAGTACAAGAGAAAAAACAAGTCTATTAAACATCACAGAGGGAAATAAACCTACACTCACCCAGCGTGGCAACCTCCTCTTGCACATCCCCTCTCCCCACCCCCTCATGCCTCACATCTCCGAACTCCATTTCCCGTTTTGGGTTCAGTGTTTTAGAAGTGATGGCCCATGTAAAGAGCAGCTCTTACTCATTTTAGCAGCTCACCGAACTGTACACTCATTGAAGGCAGGAGCAGTCTCTCAGAGATCTGTATTTCCTACACGGCCTAAAACCTACAAGCAAGGGTTTCACACACAGGTAGGAGTTTCAGTGAATTAATGAATGCAACCTCCAAATTGCTAACATTTAAAAACACTCATTAGGACTGTATTATTAATCTCAAAAAGAAAACAAACTGTATCACAGAGTGACCATCCTGCCTTCACAGTTCTCGCCCGGACTCCTTTAGAATGAGACTGAAGTACAAGGTCAGGAACGTGTAGAACAGACAGCAATCTCCCGAGCTATCAGTCTGGCATCCTTTACAGCATTAAATTAGCCATAAGAAGAGGAACGAAAGTCCTGTCAGCATGTGATACATAATGGGGAAAAGAACAAACGACATCATATTGACAAAATATGTCTCTTTTCTATGGAATTGTTCATTTGATCTTTATCCCAAACCTCCTTTGATATGATTAACAAAAGATTGAAAACACACAAAAGCTCATTAGATTATGTGGTCTACTGGTTAGACCACATGTACAATTATGCATTCCCTATAGAAATATTTTCTAGAACTTTGTCTAATCCATTTCCAGTCGACTGCTCTAAAAGTTTTTTTTTTAATTTTTAATATGCCTCACTTTATTTTTAATTTTTATTTATTTATTTATTTTTGAGGAAGATTAGCCCTGAGCTAACATCTGCCGCCAATCCTCCTCTTTTTGCTGAGGAAGACTGGCCCTGAGCTAACATCCATGCCCATCTTCCTCCACTTTATATGTGGGACGCCTGCCACAGCATGGCTTGCCACGTGGTGCCATGTCCGCACCCAGGATCCGAACCAGCAAACCCAGGGTCGCCGAAGTGGAACATGGGAACTTAACTGCTGCGCCACCGGGCTGGCCCTCTAAAAGTTTTTAAGTCTTTTTCTGAGGAGCTTATTCCAGTTAGGCGAATCTTCAATACCTGACAGTTTTTCTGAAACTTCTATTTCAATTTCTCTTATTTAAATTTTGCCCCATTACTCCTTGTTAGACCCTTTTCCCGTGACCATATTGTAGAGAGTTTTCATATTCCTTTTTAGGCATAATTTAACCATGCTTCACACATTAACTTGAGTAGACAGTGTATGGTATAAATTACAAAAAACAGCGATGTGTGAAGACATTCTGTGGTGAATAAATTAAAGCATTAATTTCAGACATATCAAACTAACACTTTTTTTTAAATTTGTGGTTCCTATAATTTTCAGACTTGTTTCTAAAGTCTTTGGAATGGGAGAATTAAATGGAAGAGATTTGTCTAAAACTTCTACTTTTATTTCATAGGTTGGAGATCAGCCATTCCCATGAATATTTAAATAAGGAAGAATTTTTAAAAAGAATTTAACACAGAGGTCCGACTCAGATTTAAGGAGATGTTGACATTCAGACATACAGATGAAAAAGATTGGGTTTAGCAACTCACCAGAGAGAATTACCACCAATCTGGCACTTAAGAGAGAATTAAGGCTATTGCCAATAGAGAAAGGACTCTCTCACCTACTGAGTACATAGATGTGCAACTTGGTACAATGAATCTGAATTGACTGAGGCAAATATGTTTACATTATGAGGGGAAGATTAAAAAAAAAAAAGAACCTAACTCAAATTTTATCAAAATCAAAGGGAAAATTTTCCCCACACAGGCTCTCCTGGGATCCTGGTGTTTCTAGTTTCCACAACTGATTCGGAATCACAGAATATACGTGGAACTGGCACCAAAACACACAGACACACACAGAATTCTTTTTAAGTAGTGAGACTTGAGGAAGAGAATCAAGTTTATCCTCATTCCCAGTTTTCTTTTTCTCCATAGTACTTATCACTTAGACCCTATTTCTATTTATTTTGTCTGTCGTCCATCTCCCCCAGCTGCCACCTAGAATCTAAGCCCTATGAAGATAGAAATTTCGTTTTGTCTTTTCTTGTTCACTTCTGCATCCCCAGGACCTAGAATCCTGTCTGACCCATAGTAGGCAGTTAATAAATATTGGTTGAAGGAATTCATTATTTGGCAGTGATTTCTCTTTTTAAGGAACCACAGAGAAAAATATCATGCATCCTTCTCTGCTAAAAAGAGTTAGACCAAAAGAAAAATGGTTACATTATGCTAAGAAGTTCTTCAAATTCTTAAAGCTAGGCTTCAGGATAGTATTAGTCCTTAAAATACAAACTAGGAAGCATCTGAAATCTGACCATGTAACTAAAGGCGCTAAAGATGCGGCTCCATGGGGTCAGAGGCAGGGTCCCTCTCTTCCCTGGATATCAGCTCATGACATGGGCCCGGTAGGAGGTAATAAATTAGAGCCAATAGGAATAGCCGACCGAGACTGCACTAGCTATGGGTCTAAGCACTTACACACATTAATTCATTTACTTTTTACAATAAGTCTATGTGATAATTCTTTGTATGTGGGGGGGTGTAAAATTATTATCCCCCGTTTCCAGATGAACATAGGGCATAAGAGGATAAATCACTGCCAGTTATCAACGTATTGTGTCCCAGCCCCAAACCCACCCTTCTTTGCCTTGCTTCATGGCTGGAGCTGGCAGAATGTTAGGCTATGTCAACAGAGGGCACCAGAGGGACACTGCAAGGCTGCAGCCCCAGGAAGACCCTCCCTTACAGGTCCTGGTCCTCCATAGTTATTCAGAGCAGGAGCCCAGAGGCCAGCTTGGAGTCCCAGCCGCACCTCCGGCCACACTCTCCTCTCTGGGCGCAGGTTCTGCAGACCAGCTCTGGCCCTACCTTCTGCAAGTCTTGTCCCACCAGCAGGCTGCAGGTTCCTGAGGTAGCAATGGCTTCTCTGAAGAGGACTGACTCCCATCCTTGCCCTTAGTTCCTTTATTGTCCCCTCCTTTCAGCCAAGAGGTAGTGGCTGGGCCTTTCGTACCCCTTAGATGCCTTTTAGCCTTTTACTCCCTTTAGCAGCTAAGCCCCTTCTACTAGTTAACAGTCCTTTATATTAAACTGTCCCTGGACATAATGTCAGAAGGCTGTTAAGTGAAGTCAGTCCCCAAACTGCCCAAGATTGTCCCACTAGGAAGCAATCAAGCTGGGCTTCAAACCCAGGAGGTCTGATCCCAGAGGACACACTCCAAACTACGATGCTACACGGTCTGGAACGTTTGACATAAAATCCAGGCTAACTTCCCCTACGGCTTGGACCCCTCTAATGCCACCGGAAGTATTTACTTACCTAGGAGTTTCATTCAGGGGCAGAAATGAGAATTGTGATACGTGGGCAAGGTACTCAACCTCATCTTCTCAAGTACGGCACCACGTGACCCTAAATTTCAATATTTCAAATGACTTTCACATGCAGTATTTCACCTGCAAACAACTTTGTAGAGTTGAGAAGACATATATTATTATTCCTATTGACAAAGAAACTGAGGCCCACAGATGTTAAAATTTTGCACGGGTAGTTTCACTCAAGTCTCCCAGCCAGAACTCTGTCTATAATATCACTGCCTTGCCTTGACGTTTAGTTACTCTGAAGTCAATTTGACCGAGAGATTGCAAAATGGACCCCCAAAACATCCACATCCTAATCCTTGGAGCCTGGGATTATGACCTTATATGGAAAAAGGGTCTTTGCAGATGAGATTAAATTAAGGATCTTGAGATGGGGAGATTATCCTGGATAAGTGGGGTGAGTCCTAAATGCCATCATAAGAGTCCTTATAAGAGAGAGGCAGAGGGGGACTTCCTACACACAGAGGAGAAGGTGTGATGAAGACAGGGGCAGGGATTGGAGTGATGAGGCCACAAACCAAGGAATGCCCGCAGCCTCTAGAAGCTGGAAGAGGCAAGGCACAGAAAGGGGCAGGGAACAGATTCTTCTCTAGAGCCTCTGGAGGGAGCACAGCCCTGCTGAAACCTTGACTTTGGCCCAGTGATACTGATTTCCAACTTCTGGCGGCCACAACAGTGGAAAAATGAATTTCTGTTGTTTTAAGCAACCAAGTTTGTGGTAATTTGTTACAGCAGCCTCAGGAAACTAACACACTGACAAATTCAAGTTTAAAAGAAAAGTGTATGCAGATAGAAAATAATTTCCTAACATGACATAAAAAGATTTACAAACTCAGTTGCACTCAAATTAAGAACTTTAAGAACACCGAGAACGAAAACACAAGCTATAGAGTGGGAGAGGCCATTTGCAAAACAAATATCCTACAAAGGACTTATGTCCAGAATATAGAAAGAATTCCCTCAAATTAATAAAAAAGATCGACAACTCAGAAATTTAAAAATGGGCAACAGACTTGAAAAGGCCCATCACAAGAGAGGCTGTCCAAATGACCAATAATCATATACAAATGTGCTTAATGTCATTGATCAATTGGGGAATGCAAATTAAAAATCCCAAAATCCCAATAAGACAATGGTATACCGCTACACCCCTGACAATACCAAGTGCTGGTGAAGATATGCAACAGCTAGAACTCGCATACACTGCTGGTGGGAGTGTAAATTGGTACAACTAATTAGGAAAACTATTTGCCAGTATCTACTAAAGCTAAACATATGTATATACTATAATTCAGCAATTCTATTCATGAATATATATACAGGATAAAGCGTGCTTATGTCCACCAAATGACATGAACTAAAATGTACAAGAATATCTATCAACAGCAGAATGGATAGAAAATTGTGGCATATTTATATAATGAAATAATACATAGCAATGAAAAAGAATGAACCACTACTATACCCAACAACATGAATCAATCTTGCAGACATAATGTTGAGCAGAAAGAAGCCTGACACAAAAGTTATATGAAGCTCAAGGAGAGGCAAAACCAAGCTATGGTGATAAAGGTTAGAAATGTGCTTTTCTTGGGGGGTTATCTGCTGGGAGAGACCACAGGGGTGCCTGCTGGTGGGCTGGAAATGTTCTGTATCTTAATCTGGAGGGAGGGGGGTTACATGGATATATACATAAGTAAAAGAAAATGAGGTGTACACTTAAGATTTATGTTCTTTACTGTATAAGTTAGATTTTAAAAAAGAACATTAAAAATTTACTTTAAAGAAAACCAGAGAAAGGTACTAAGGTTAACACATCATATTTAAGATAGTCAGGAAATCAGTGTGCCATTCAAATTTCACTAAAAAATGGTCTTAGGCAAAATGATTTTCCACATTTGCAAAATTGGAATATTAACATCTACCAACCTCATAAAGCAATTAAGAGAATTAGATAATGTATAAATATCCTTGCGTTCCTATAAGAGAAGCCTCATATAAATATAAGGTAACACTATTTGTGCAACATTCCAAGATCACATTTTCATTTAACTAATCTCATATAAATACCACCTGCTTTCCTTTAAATTACAATTGCTAAAACCCATAAAGTAAATGAAAGTGGAAATCTGAGTTAGGCCAGCAACAAATGGATAAATTGGGGCCCAAGTAGGGCTGCCTATTCTTTCCATGACCCTTCTGATGGGTGATCATTGTAAAATTGAAAAGTGAATATTTATACTTTTTAAATCTTCCTGAAGGACTCCAGAATCTACTCAGTGACAGGAGGTTCACTAAGGATGTACACCTGATTCAATTCCAGAGACTCCAATGAAAGACTTCTAAACAGCTTCAAACCCAATAATACCATCCCGCTGATCTCCTTTTTGAAGGTTATTAATAAAACAAACAATAATCAGGTTGCAGTCACATCTATGTATATAACATGGTTCAAATCACATAGCTCCTGTAAATCTGAGCTGTCCGATATGGTAGCCACTTGCCACATGTGGCTATTGAGCACCCGAAATTTGGCTAATCTGAATTGATTTGTCCCCTAAGCGTAAAACACACACCATTTTCAAAACTTCATACCAAAAAAAAAAGTAAAATACCTCATTAATATTTCTATATTGATTACATGTCAAAATGATAATATTTTCAATATCGTACTAGGTTAAATAAGATATATATGACTAAAATGAGTTTAACCTGTTGATTTTTACTTTCTTTAAATGTGGCTAATAAAAACTTTAAATTCCATCCATGGCTTGCATTGTATTTCTATGGGACAGCCAGGCTCTAAGTAAAGATGGAAATTTTCATAATGCTATTCCTCTCAGAACAGTTTTCAGAAAGAGAGCTTTAAGAATTAGGGTTATAAACACATAGATAAGGAGAATAGATTAGCGGTTACCAGATGAGAAGGGGGCAGGGGAGAGTGACAGGGGTAAAGGGGCACATATGTGTGGTGACTGATAAAAACTGGACTGTTGGCGAACACAATGCAGTCGATACAGAAACTGAAATAGAGTGATGTACACCTGAAATTACACAATCTTGTAAGCCAATATGACTCCGATAAAATAACAAAAAATAAAGAATTAGGGTCAAGATTGCTTAAGTGTTTTCCGGCCAAATCACCTGTCTTTGTCAAAGATTAAAACCTACGTTTAATCATGATAATTGACTGAGTTTTAGGACGGTCATATAATGTTCAGTGTTCATGAAGTCACAGGATACTTGACCTGTTTCCCGTGAGCTTTGAATAATACGCAAACCTGCAGTTCTAAAACTTTTGGGGGCTTTCAACTATAGAGGCAAAGAAATGACCTTAGCAGGTCTCCCACAGGACTTTCCAGGACACGCCAACACGAAAGCTGTATTCAGTTAATCAAAAACAATACTGCGTTGAGGCCCTAGCCCCCAGCGTGATGGTATTTCGAGGTGGGGCTTTGGAGAGGTAAATAGGTTTAGATGAGCTCATGAGGATGGGACGCTGACGATGGCATTAGTGTCCTCATAAGAAGAGGAAGAGATCGCAGCCGTCTTTCTCTCCACCATGAGAGGACACCGTGAGAAGGGGGCCAGGAACTGACCCTGTCAGACCTTTATCTGGGACTTCCAGCCTTCAGAACTAGCAAAAAATAAATTTGTATTGTTTAAGCCTCCCGGTCTATTGTATTTTGTTATGGCAGCTCAAACAACTCATTCAGATACCGCTTAAAGCAATCTTTTTTATTAAATATCATAATTAATCTTTACTGAATGCCAATTAAGAGTATACACATTTTTGCTATTTAAAGGCATGGTGATTTGCACACTGTGGAGAATAAATAAATATTTGTTGATTTTCTCTATTACGTTAATAGGACAGGCCTGACCTATGGCCTCTGTAGACCAACTTGCTCATACAGCATCTTTGCTGAGCCAGGAAAATGGGTCAAGGAAAATGAGTATTATGTAAAAATATTATTACTTTGAAATATTTTCTTCTTAACTATATCAAAAATATTTTCTTCAGCAAATGGAATTCATATTCCCACTTGAACTGAAAATGCTAAGTTGTTAATTTCTCCCCTAGGGATCTGCTTCTTGGTGTGGCACCTTCAATGATTTCAGCATAGCTTAAGCATAATAAAATCTCATTTTATGCTCCAAGGCATGAACGATCTTAAATGTCCCTCAATTGGTATAGTACTCAGCCTTGTGGCTTTTAGAATAACATTTTAAAAGGCATCACAAAAGGAAAGAAAAGGTCCCAACCCCAGGAACAAAATAGTAAGCTTTGCCTCTTAGAAATATTCAAAACACCTTTGGGTTTTTAACGGCTTGGTTTTAAAGAAAGAAAGAGAAAAAAATAACGGAAGGAAACCAAACAGGGTAGTTGATTGAACCCCTGTTATCACTTTAACCCCTTGCGCCACCTTTTAAGAGCACCCAGGGGTCTAAGAACTCCAAAAAGTCTACACAAAATTTTGTTTGCTCTATACGTATTTTCCGGGACTAGGGTCCGGAGCTTTGAACATAACCTAGAAGGAGACAGTGACCAAAAAGATTTCAAAACCTCTTGTGGAAGGGTTTGCTTTAGCGAGCTGAAACAACAGCTACCCCTCCAACCTGGAGCACCCCACCTAAGACCTCAGGATGCGCACCAGGCCCCGCTTCCACTATTTGGTGGTTACCTGGTACCTTGATTTTATTTCTGGGTGTGTGTAGGTTCATGCTAGTTGCCCCCAACTTCCCCCTTCTTCTGTATCTCCCTGTTAAAAGTGGACCCTGAGTGGCTGTCTCCTCATTGGAGTGAGAGGTACTGTGTAACGGATCACATTTATCAACATACCGTTTTCCTTTAATCCCCTCTATTCTTTTGGGGCCGCTTAAATTTGCCACAGCGCTGGATGGGTTGTCCATCTTTTTACTCTTTGTATTTTGGTCTAGAGATGATGAGTCTGGCGGTGGCACTTTTAAGCAGGTCAGATCACACTCCTGTACTGCCTTTCCCAGATAGTGTAAAATTCTCTTCCATTCCACACTCTAAAGATGTGAGAAAGACGTAGCGTGCTCTTAGCTGCCTAGAGAAGAATATTATATAAAACTAATAAGAGCTTTCCGTTTATGCTAATTATTTTGGCATTATTACAGCAAGCGGCAGAGTCCCCTGCACCTGCCTCGGCCACTTCTTCCCTAAGAGTGAGCAAAGCGATCAGGCACCCTCTGACGTCGCACCCCTCACCCCTTGCACCCTCTCCAAGCCCCACATTCCAAGTTCTCTCCCTGAACATAACTCCGGATCTTCCTGCAACCCTCCTTGCACGGGGATGAAGAACTGAAGCTCACTCTTCTATACTCTTCCCACCAGGAAATTCTACAATCTCTTCGTTCCCTTGCAGAGCGCAGATGGGTAAGTTGGGCTTTTTTTTTTTTTAATCCTAAAACTTGCCTAAAACCAGTGAGCCTGGCCCTTCGACACCCCGAATCTGAAGGCAAGGAGTGGGCTGGCCAGGAGGGTCCCCGACCCCCAGGGCTGTTTCTAACAAGATCGGCCCCAGGGAGCGGCGGGGAGGCGCCGGCGAGCTCGGGGCCGCGAGCCGGGCCCCCGGGAAGCAGCGGCCCGACTCCCCGACCCCCGCGCCGGGCCGGGCCCGCGTCCCCGGGGCCAGGCCAGCCGGCCGGGCCGAGGGCGCCGCGCGCGGCCTCCGGCTCCTCCTCGGGGCGCCGCGCGGCCAGGCCGGTGGGTGGCGGCGGCCCGGGCCCCCGGGGATGGCGGCGGCCGCGCTCCGCCAGCAGGTGGCCCCGGGGTCCCGGCGGCGCCGCCTCCTCCGCGGCGCCCCTCCTCCCGCGGGGGCGGTCAGCGCCCCGACCCGGCTCGCACCCCGCCGCCGCCCGCCGCGTCCCCGGGGCCGCGCTCGCCGCCGCCGCCGCCGCGTCCGGAGCTGCGCCCAGGGCGCCGGCAGCCCCGGCCCGCCGCGCCGCGCCCTCCCCGCCCCCAACTCGCTCCCCAACGGAAAGTTCGCTCCGGCGGCGCCCGCACAGGCGCCGGAAGGAGCGGGGGTCGGGGGGCGTGCTGAGCGCGCCGCGGGCGGCCGCCGGGAGGGGGCAACTTCTCCCGGGAAGGCGCCTCCCGCCGAGCCCCGCGAGCCGCAGCCCCCGAGGGCTCCGAGCTGGCTTTTCCCTTTCCTCTGCCTCCCCCCTGCGGATTCCAGGCACGGACCTTGGTCCTGGCGCTCCCGCTGCCGGGTGACAAGAGCCAGCGCCGCCGCCGCCGCCGCCGCCTCGGCCGCCGCTCCCTCGGCCGCCCGGCCGGCCGCCCCCGGCCGCAGCCCCTGCCGCCCGCTCCCGCCCGCACCATGGAGTTCTCGGAGAGGAAACGAAGCAGGAAATCGCAGAGCTTCAAACTGGTGAGCCGAGGTAAGCGGGGGGCGTGCGGCCGGCGGAGGAAGGACTTGGCGCCGCGTAAACATCCCCTCGCCCGGCCCGCCGCCCCTCGCCCGGCGCCGCGGCCGCGCGTCCCACGCCGGGGGGCCGGGCTCCCGGGACCCCCCGAGTCCCCTCCCGCGGGGGCAGCGGCCGCACACGCGGGCGGCGGGGAAAGTTGTGCGGGGGGAGAGGCAGGATGTTATCCGGCGTAAACAAGTCGGAGGGCACATCAGGAAATTAGCAAACAATGACACTTGGGGAGCCGGGAGCCTTCTTTGGTATTCCACTCCTGTGGCTAGGTGGGGGGCTGGGGGCGATCTGCCTCTCCATCAGGCCGTGCGGACACGAATCCCGACCCAGGGTCGTGGGGTGTTTTTTTCTCCCCCCCCCCGCAAAGAGAAGGAAGAAAGGTGGTGGTTCTTTTAAGAACGAGAAAGAAGCTCATGAGGTGGACAAGCCCAGATGAGAATTGTTGACGTCCAACATCTTTTCTAGATACGTTCGTTATTTGCATGGCAAAGGTGTTTTAGAATAGATCACTTATCAGTCATATATGTATCATTGACGAAAAAAAAAAAAAATCCAGCCGGTTCCTGGCGATTTAACAGGTGTATACCACAGTCTTTGGGGCTTGGGTTTGTTTTATCGGGGAGGGGAAAGTTGAATAGTCCTGTCTATGTTCAATTACTTATCAGAGTCTTCATTTTCCTGATTTGACTTTTTAACAAATGATGAGAACTTAAGAGCAGATGTGAAAATATGTCTTTCAAAATGCCTTGTGTCACCTTAACTTGGAGGCAGGTGACTTTTTTCATGGTCATGTCACAAATCCTAATATTGAGATGAGAACCACCCTCTTTAAATTTCTATCTTCTTTGGATCAACTTGAGGTCAAAACCAAACCAGAGAAGCTGTCCGCTTTTCCTGTCGTATCTAGCATTGGCATCAGAGTAGAGAGCAAGGCGATTGTCTTAACAACCTGGAGAAGTCACATGTAAGCTAATGAAAATTAGAGGGCAATTGCGAGTAATAGAGCTTTTCAACATAAGCCGATCTAAGGATGATAGAGATTCAATAAAGCCTGTTTTCGGTTAGTCTGAAAATGGTCTGATGATTGACATTTTGAAGATCTACTCATATCTGTATCCCCTGATTTCCTTTGGATACTTTTTCATGAAAGAGGCCTGAAATAGTTTTTACGTATTCAAAATATTTGGCTCTTCCCTCTTTCTATGTGCATTTTTTCTACTAGTGTTGATTGCACAGTCATTTGTACTTTAAAAGTCTCTTCCTGCGTGACTGGCCTGTTGGTCTATCTGATTCATTCAGGAATGTAGGCTGCTTTCTTATTTATGACCTCAGGCCACTTACGACTTTATCTTAAAAGTGAGAGTCGTTTTGTAGACCTTGTCCTGTGAGGTCCAAGGCCAAAAAAAAGGGAATAGCTGTTAAGAAGGGACCTCTGTTTTCTGACCTAGGCGATGCTGCTTTTTAGAAATAGACAATTGCCAGAGTACAGTCGCCTCTGTAGAGGAGCTTGTAAAATATTGTACTTTAAAGTTTGACTGACATAGCAAGTTTTTCTTTTCTTTTCTTTTAAATTATGAGTCTGATTCTTCTCTCTGCTCTGCAGGTGCATTTTTAGGACATAAATTATTGCATATGAAAGTGCAGTAGCTGAATGCAAAAGACTCACTTGTATGAAAGATGAGAATCTTGCTTTCTTATCCAAATTATACTATTTTTGAAATAACAAATCGGTATTTTTCATGTGTGCTTGGCTGTCAGCTGCTTAACAGTGGGGATTTTTCTGGGTAAACTGAGAAAACAGAGTGTTGAGTAACACTAAAGCATACTATTGAAATACTTATGAAAACAGGCTGTGGAGAGAAATTTGGAATACTCCTCTGGCCTATGATTGGGCAGGGTTTTTCTTTTCCATATAGACTTATCATTTGAAAGAAAAGCAGCCTCGTAATTGGCATCTGTGGGCCAAATTTACTGTAAAAACTATGTGACCAAGCAGAGCTGTTTTCTAATGTCAAAGCAATATCTCAAGTTTGTGTACTTCTCCAGAGTAAGCAAAGTTTTAGGGGTTATTAGTGACTACAAATTCTGTGATTAACCAAAAATTCTATTTATAAATTGAAATTTGTATTTATAAATTAAATTGTAGATTATACACACTATATGTCATGAGATTCTAGGCTTTATTGCTTATTCATATCTCGCAGGTCATCAGAATTCTAATTTCTGGTTGTTTTCTCATCACAGATTATCACCATGAGGTATATAAGAGCTCAGAATTCAGCAACGATGTTAATGGGGAGGCCAAAGAGACACAACCCGTTTTTTTAGGTAGGTTCTTATGTCAATTAATTTCTCAGCAAAAACAGCGTGGCCATTTGCAATTAGGGGGAAAAAAAAGATTGTGCCAGAACGGGAAATGTCTGCCATTGCTTAATGTATGACATTCTTTTCAAGACCTTTTATTTTACAGATTGCCAATATATCCCTTATTAACATTGCTAAAAGTTGTAATTTCAGACATAAATGTTTATTAGTGTCTACACACAGTGCTAATTATCACTCGCTCCCAGAGCCAGATGCTGACTGTGCAGTTTTGTCGCTCGGCGCTCACCCCATTTACATTGCATATTCGCTGGCATGCTTCACTGGCAATAGTTTGTGTAATTGGGGTATTACATCTTTGACATCTGGATAACAGAAATTCAATTTCCAGGAAGCTGCTATTTGTTTGGTTTTGCTTCTGCTTTGGGTGGGATAGAGGATTAATATGCTGTCTTATTATAATGTCCCTTCACCTCTGTGACCTGGTTGCTAATCCTGCCATGACAAAATTAAATTAAATCTACAGTCAGAAAGCGTAAGGAAAATCACAGTGTGATTGTCCGCCTAACCACCTCTTAATAGTACTAGTTGTCACAGAGCAGCTCCTCGCTTTCCTGGCTTTGCGTTCATTTCACACCAACACTTGTGTTCAGAGAGAATAGCCATACTTTGCGCTTACCATCCTCATTCCCAGCTCATCTTGTGGACAGGCAGAGTAAAAGCAGCGTCTTTAAGACCTTCCGACACTTGTGGCCACATGATGGATGAGTAGGTAGCCAAAAATGTCGGCACTCTTCTCATATGTCATTTTTGGTGCAAATACCTTACATGAAGCTCCTTGCATGTATGGTTGGTTATTTGCAGACCATGAACCAAAAATTAAACGACTTAAGATTTTGCCGCTGAGTGAAGTACCCGTAAAGTCAGAGTGGGGAGTAAATGGTGGCATTTGGCTTCAACCTTGCCCATCCTCAGCACCTGCAACCCATGGCAGTAGGGTGAGGGCTGGGTGCTGTACAGCAAGGAGCAGAAAACGAGAGACAGCCAGGGCAAGAGTGATTGCAAGGCAAGGGCAGAATCGCCATATCCCTGGGGAGAGTTGATCTGGCTTAAGGAAGGAGGGTTGCTGTTCTGACCCAGCCTGAGGACTATTGCAAGTTAAAACAACGTGAGTGCTGAAGATGTCGTGTTTTGTCACCACAGTCTCTCTTTTTGCATTGAGGAAGAGAAAGGGTGGGTTGCAAAGGACTGAGAAGTCAAATAGATACTTTGTGGAGGTAAAATGGGAGGGCAATATCAGCATTTCTTACACAACCAACCACTGAAGGCATGTGGATCTTTCCATGGAGGGAAAGAATATTCCTGAGGCCAGCACTACTCAGCACCAAGACAACTTAAAACCAAAAGGTTAATGGTCAAGCAAAATGCTTTGACCAGAAGGAGAATATTCTTGGATTGTACTCTTCTCAGTTCCCTAAACTTAATAAGTTGGGATTCTGTATTTTCAGTTCCCTAAACTTGATTGGTTGGAATTCTGTATCTAAATACCACTCTATTTGGCCGTTCGAAATGAAGTTTGCCTTTTAGTAGAAGATTTACGTTTATCATAAAATGGAACATCATGTCCCTGGTTTAGTTATTCTCCAACGGAGCAGGCCTTTCCCCCTTTTCTGCTGTGTGATTGGAAAATGGTAAGGACGCTATCCAGTTGGTTAATTCCAGGTATGAGAGAGTGGAGGATGATGAAGAGGAGGATGCTAGTGCTCAGAATTCAGTAAAATGGAAATTCTCGAAGTGGGCAGACATTGCTGCTTTCCTTTTTTCTAGCCCAAGTCCAGGAAGATAGGAGAACATAGTGACAGACCAGGCTTGGGATAAGCTTCCCAAGGTCTTGGTCAAGAAGGCTTAGACATCCAGAGACAGAAGACTGAACAGCATGAAAGTGCGCCTGGCTTACTTCTCAGCCTTTTGCTCATTCTGGGGAATGTGTGATATGGTTCCCAAGAAATATTTTCATTTTGTGATCTCTAGGTCAATTTTAAAAAGTGGAAGAGCAAGTGATTACACAAACATAATTTGTAGAGCAATTGAGAATAGTTGCTGATGGCATATAGAATTAAGAATTTTGTTGACAGTGTTATAAAACGGATGTTTTTTAGTTTCTAGTTACTATTCTTAAAATGTAGATTTAAATCATGTTTGTTTTGTAAACTGCTAGAGTCTATCCATAATATTAGTCATGATGGTGTAGAATTCTGTGTGAGGTTTAGGATATCCAAGGGAGTTTGTTGACAAAATACCAGAATTGTTTCACCTATAACACATTACTGAAACATGGCCCCCAGGACACTATATAGGATTTTCTGTGTTCAAACATACGTGTTATCTTTGATACTGTCTGCACGTATAAGATTAAAGTTCACATCTTGGAGGAAGAGAGTGCTCCAGAATTTGGCAGACGTTCCCACAAGAAATCTCTTTCTCGGGAATATTTTTAGGATGTTGAGTGATACAGTGCATCCACCATGGTAGGATGGCTCAGTAGGGTGAACGGCTTGGCAGAGAGCTTTGGGAGTTACTCACGCGTTGTTAATGTGATAATAGGGTCAGAAGAGTTACTTTATCTTGTGGACACTGACTTTGTCAATCAGGCTGTGATGAACTCGGGTAAGATTTGACCACTGTTTGGAGAAAAACAGCTTAATTCATTTTAATCTATTCAACAGATGTTTTTTGAGAAAATACTATGAACTCAGCACTTTTCTGGAATGAGAGTGGGGTTGGGGGTAACCAAAGAAATGGAGAGGACAGGGACTCTGCTCTCAAGGATTAAATCCAGGTGAGGGAGAGAGGACAAATGCAGGACACAGTTAAGAGCAATATTCAGCAATCAGGACAGCTACGGGGATTGAGCGCTTACTGTGTGCACAGCATCGAGTTGAGTACCTCTCATATGAATTATCTCTTTTACTTCCCACAGCAGCTCTGTAGGAGTCCTTATCGTCTCCGTTTTGTAGATGAGACTTAGAGACATTAGGTAGCCGGCCACAGATCCCTCAAGGAGCAAGTGCCATAGCTGGGATCCCAGTGCCCATGTGCCTCAGCTGTGCACACCCCATGCTGCTATCCCTCTGTGTGAACCATAATTGAATGACAAATGGGAACCGTTAGGGCAACGAGCGAAAGCAGAGTTGGGAGGGAAGGATCAAATTTAGGGTAGGGTGGAGCGCTCTGGGAAGGCTGGACCTTGAACTAGGGAAAGATACAGATAGGCAGAGGGGAGTCGGAGAAGATTCCAGGTAGGGGTGACGTGAGCCACACAGAGGGATGAGCGTCAGTGTAATCAGACTTGAAGGGAGGGCCGCGCTTTATAGGTTAGAAAGTGCTTTCACCTCTGTCATCCCCTCAGTTTTACAGTATATCCGTGAGTTGTGAGGGTGGATGTTATTATCCCATTACCCGGAGGAGGAAACTGAAGCTCAGAGTTAAGTGACTTGCTCATAGATAGCAGAAAGTGGAATAACCTCAAGTCTGCTGTCCAGAGATCTTTTGCTTCTACCACATTGAGCCAGGCAAATTCACCGAGCTTCGAAGAGACCTTAGCTGGCAGCAAGGCACATTGAGAAAGTGTTTTACTGAGATGATTAATTTATTATTCATAACAATAATACAAACATATAATAAAATCTCTTTTTATACATTGGATGTTGTTTTAGACTTACTATTATGGTCTGTAAGTTTGAAACTTCTGTTTTTCAGGGATTCGGTCTCCTTGGTTGCATGCCAGGCCCTGTTCTAGTTTTTCTTCTAGTGTTCAGTTCAGTTATACACTTTGAGAAGAGGAAGCACAGGCTGTAGTAGCCATGCCAGTTAAGCTGAGTCAAGATCTCTGAACTTTTGAATCTCTTGTCAGTGGCTTTCTTGATGACAGCTACCCCCACCCCAGGGTCCGCAGAATCTACTCAAAGATGGCACACAAAAAATTCCTACCCACTTATCCAAGTTAGGGAGTTAGCCCCTAACCACAGTGTACTTCCCCTCCCTGGAGAGGTGGGCAGGCCCCTGTGTGAAAGGGCAGGGCTCCTCACCTGGACTCCAGTGACCTGGGTCCCACCCCGTTCTTGTTTGGCCTCCAAGGGCTGGGGAGCTGGGCCCTCCTCCCAAGAGGAAGGAGGCCCTGATGTCTCACCACACCTGTGGCTGGAGTTCCAAGAGTGAGAAGCAGCCTCCTAAAATGAAGGTCCAAGAGGGCCTGAGTGTCTCTTGGGGTTGGGAATGTGGCTGAGAATAGCGCCGTTTATGGAAAGCTTGCCATGTGCCAGGCACTATGCTGGCACTGTGTTATGTGTCAGGACTGACCTTGTATCTGTTATCCCATTCATTGTTCCAAGAAAGTTATTCTCATTCCCACTCTTTGGATGAGGAATTTGAGGAGTGCACAGAGTCACTCATTGACGGAACCAGGATAGAACCAGGATCTGTCTGTCTCCAAAACCATAGCCTGAGCCACATGAAATGCTTTGTTCAAACGAACTCCCATGTGGAGCCCCGCTATGTACAACAGGCGAGAGGGGAGCAGGGGTGCTGGCAGCAGGCGGAGGGCACCCAGAGCGCCTCCACCACGCCCCACCCTCCTCGGCCTCCCCACCTCCACGGGCCCCTGCAGAGCCCTTCCAGTGCCCTCCTCACGATGTAGAAACCTCTGCTCTGGATGGTTTCTGAGGTTTCCTACAGCTCTGAAAGTATGTCTGGTTACACTGCAGGTCCAAAAATGGCTTCAAAAGCCGTTGCCAGCAAAGTCAGAGTTGAGGGAGCCTCTTGAGGAAACTGAAGCCCCGACGATGCCTTTGAATATAAGTGCACATATGAATGTGTTTCTGCAACTCCAGATGCAGACTTAGTCATCCTTAGATATTGCCGATTGCCTAAAGTTTGGGAGGCATTTGCAATTAGGCCTGTCTCCTACTTCCATTAATCATTTAGTTAATATCACAGCTACACTGTGA